GCTTAACATGGTCCAGCAATTAACCTGCAAATGTAGCAGAGATCAGAGATGACTCCACTGATTATATCGACCTGGGGGGTTGTTTCATTTGTCTGTTGTTGTTGTTGTTGTTGTTGTTGTTGTTGTTGTTGTTGTTGTTGTTTGGAAACCAACGAGTCCTCAAAATGTTATCCAATAATTGGTTGTTGCAGCTTGTCAAATATGATTGAGGTTTGGTTAGGTTTAGGCACAAAGTGAAAGATCATGGTTTGGGGTAAAAGCATTACTTCATTAGGTCAGGAGATCTTTGTCGCCATGGTCACAGTAATAACCAGATGGTTAAAGGCAGGCAATGGTCGTCATGGTTGAAAAAGAATGATGTCCGTAGGAAAGGTCTTGTTGACCTAACACAGGATTTGTGGCTTTTTAATAATGTCATCTGACATTCAGTCTTTGCTCCCGGTGGGATTGATAATTCCTTTTCACATGGACTCTTCTAAATCTAGAAATCACAATATAAAAAAGTATACATTTCAGCTCAAAGAGGATATATTCTGCTCATTTTAAGGTTCATATTTGTATTTTGTGGCTCTGCTGTGACATGTTTAAATGCTTTAATGTTCAAACAGGTCTTTCTTTTTCTCCTCGCCTGCAGCACCTCTTTTCACCCTCTGTGTGAGCCAAGTCTGCTCTGATTGGTTAGCTGGCCGGCTCTGTTGTGATAGGAAAACCTCCAAAAAGCACACTAGGGCAACTTTAATATTTTGTGTGCAGTGTAGGACTACATTGCTTGTAATAAGCTCTTGTCTTACAGATCATCCATGGAAGATAGGGCCTCATAACAACCTTGGCTAATCACTTTATTTTCTCTGCATTTATTGCTCTGGCACAAGCACAGGCAGCGCCCAATAAATCTGTGTGGGTGTGGGTGAGTAAAAAAGATCAGAAGGTGTTATTGAGGTAAATTGGATCTTGTCGGCTAACACCACTATGGCACAATCTAACATAAGACTCCAACGGGGGACCAACACCTGTCAGGGTTTAGAGCTGCAGCTCTGTACTTTAGTTATGTGCTGCAGTACGAGCTATTCTCATTCTGTAGCCTATTCTGAGTTTCTAAAGAGACGGATCAATCAATGCCGTCTGCCACAGCGAGCCCACTGCAGGTCTTCATGTCGAGGATGTGGGTGTCACAGTGAAATGCTCATTCTCACCCACCAATGCACGCATCAACTTGACTCATTCTTATAAGAACGCTCACTTCCTTCTATCTGCATTGAAGCCAGATATCTGAGAAAAAACGAACTGCACTTCAAGTGACTCAAATGATCAGCTTTTGTTGTTTAATCATCAGAATCTGCACACGCTTCCACGCTCCTCCTCTGCTCTTACAAAGCTGTGTGTGTGCATGTGTGTTTAGCATATCAATGATCACATTCACCGCTCCCGTGGGAAAACACTCCTGAGTCATGTGAAGCTGCCGCTTTTTGTTCTGCGGTGCATTCTCTCCAAATGACTTTGCTGGAAAGCGTGCACACTGATTGAAAATGCAGCATGAGTCTGACAGACAAACACCTCATGTATATCTTTTTTATTTTCACGGCACAGCTGTCAGCCTTTCCCCCCAGAATTATCAATCACTTCACTGCTGATAAAAAATTCATTTCGTTATTTAAGATCAGTTTTTTTCTCACCTCCCTCCTTACTGTGTGTAAATCAATACAGGAGAGTGAGGATGGGCAGAGAGGGGAGAAAGAAAGGTTGGGGGAAAAGTGAGAAAGAAAAGGTGTGACATTCGCAAGTGCGAGGGAAAAAAAAGATTGTAGAATTGATGGGAGAGGAGCTGGATGTCTCGGATGCAGAGATGGAGAGAAGGTCAAGAGGATGAGGGTCCACTGCTCCACAAATTACCGCTCAGCTAGTCGTTGGCTTTTTCCCAATAATTTGCAGCCCTGAGGGGAGAAGGAAATCGGTAGTGATCGTAGTGGATAGATATGAGAGGGGAAATATATTGCTATGGACTTTTCCCTGGGTATAGGTGCCAAATCTATAAAGAGAGTGCTTATGGGGAAAAGGACCAGGGTCAGAGCCGTCAGCTGACCGTGAGAGGGGGAGGTCGCCAACCAGCACACACTCGCATTGTTCAAAATACACGGATTAGCATGAATAATAAGGAAAAAGGAGAAATACGTTGTATTTTCTTTTCTTCAACACTCTTAGATATCAATATGGGGTTGTTTTTTGCTACATAACATATTGTTTTACATTTATTTACATACACTTTGCATTGATTCACTCTTTAAATCCTCTATAGAGTTCTAGGTTCTTTATTGTCAAACTAACATAGCTACAGAGTAATTATGTCGTTGAAAAGTGGTGCAGGGATGACGTATTTATCCGGAAGTAAGCTGCGCATGGGTTCCCTCGACAAAAAAGCAATGGGATTTCTCCATAGGATTTTGGAAAATAGCTCGAAATAAGGTCTGTGGAAAACGTTTTGTTCAGCCGGATAATGTCCACATGTCTCCTACTTTTATAATTTTTGTATCATAAATCTAATCGCCAGAAGCAAAATGCTAACGTTATGCTATAAACGGACTACAGCAGGGTCGCACGACTTCAACGTCACGCCAACTTAAGATCGATATTCAAAAATACAGATTCAAAATTGTACAAGTTGAAGCGTTTGTTTTAACAGTTTGCAGGAGCGCAGGTTCGGCGTAATGACGTACAACGTCCTCAATAACTTCTGTAGTCCTATTCAGCCACTTGGTAACAACCATCGTTTTTCAGACACGTAAACTCTTCAGAAATCACGTGTGGGGTCACTGCTGATGTATTTAATGTCGTAGAACAAAACCTTATCCGTCTCTTAAATGTGTGTCAACCACAGACCTTATTTCTAGCTATTTTCCAAAATCCTATGGAGAGATCCCATTGGCTCTGAGACGAGGGAACCAGTAGTGGTAAGATGCTAACTCACTTCCGAGTTTTAGGACTCGTCACTGCACCACTCTATTCCTTAATATCACATCACATGGATACATTCACATATACTGTAACATGCAACAACTCAGAGAAGGTCTTTAACCAAAACATCTATATTTCATCAGGACTATGATACATATAATATTCAGCATTTATGTTCCGATATGCAAACTATACGTACAACTGCTTTATAAATAAGCATTCAATCACTTTGTCATTCATTTCACTTAAAACCAAGAAACAAGGCGTGATACAGGCTAAGTGACAGATATTTCAGATAGTGGTGTCTACAGCATTTCTCTCACTTTGATATAAAGTTTAGATTGCTTTCTGTCGACACTGTCTTTGCAGTCATGGTAACCGTTATGTCTCACGCTGTCGGCTTGTCTCACTTCCTGGAATTCAGTTATTATGTGTTCTTATTTCCTGTAAAAGCTCTTCAGAAAACGAAGCAATTACCTACCTTCTGTTTTATTTTTCTCTCTAACAACATTTCTGAAGGTTGTGAGAACAAACTCATATGTCTGTGGTTTGCTTCGTCTGTAAAACCAGTCAACACTTGGTTTCTTACATTGTAAGAAGAGGGAAACAATTCAGGATGTAATAACATTAGTAACATTATGGGTATGTGCATTGTAAATGGTTCTAAGTCTAAATAATTTAAACCAACATCTAGAGCTTATCATCAGAGAATTGGGTACTGCCTTCAAGAAAATAAAAGCACAACATAGTGACACCAGAGAGGAACATTGTGTCCAATTAAAACAGCAGCAGCCATTCTGTGCTATGCATCATGTTAGCCAGTTGTGAGCGTCATGCTTTCCTCTGTAATACATCTTCAAAGACAAACACTCTCCATGTATACAGTCAGGGGTGAAGAGAGATGGTGTACTTAAAAGATACCGACCCCGTAGGAAGACATGCAGCGCACGGTTTCATACATATTCATATTTATTTTTATTGTGTAGTCTGCGTTTTTTCTGTGAATCCCAACTGAGTTGAGTCTTTACATCTTGTACCAATATGCCAATTCAAGGTTTTTGCTTGAATCATAACAAACACATGTTGATTCCACAATGTAATGGCTGTAGGTTAACGACACCTTTAGTGTTTAGATTGATTCAGTATAAGCTTTTGTTGCTGTTGCTGCTAAGACACCTGATTTCCCACAGGGATCAATTAAGGTTTATTACATTACATGTCACTTGTTAGACGCTTTTATCCAAGGCGACTTACATACTCAATACTGTGGGCAATCCCCACAGGAGCAATTTGGGGTGAAGTGTCTTGCCCAGGGACGCAACGACATGCTGACTGCAGTGGGGTTTGAACCTGCTGTGACCCCCCTGATCCGAACACCTACGGACAACCCACTGCGCCATACGCATCCGTTTATGTTATCTTAGCCCTGTAATTCTGCCATCTACGATGAGTGTGTCCTGTGTGGTGTCACTCGCCTGTTTTTAGTCAAAGTAGCTAGCATTAGCTCCAAGAGAGGCAAGAACTCGCCAGACGACGTCATACATGTATGTTCTTTGTTCCTTCACATTGTTCGTTCATTTGCATAAAGCTCAGTCGGTGTGTCGCTGAAGGGGAGATCCAGTGGGCCGAAGAACTGATTTACTGTGATTACTCTGAGCAGCTGGGAATAAGTTACAATATAATAATGTAATATTATTTCTTGCTTTCCCCTTTAAATTCTGAATCCTTTAATATTAGGAATGAGACTCTTTTTCCAACAGTAAGACGACTTGGAAATGCTAAAGGTGGAGAAGAAGACATCTTTATCGTCCTTGTCCCATGCTGGATACCAAGACATTTCTACTTCATGGCATCTCTTTTTTTAGATTTGATCCTTTAGTGGTTTATAGATGTGCTTAGCCCATAGCTGAGTTGGTAGAAGGAAGACTAGAGTCTTTAGGCAGCCGATTGAGAGGAGCATTTTGGATAAAAGTGCTATAGAAATGTACCATTTTATGCTTTAACCGATATATTTGCCAGATGGTCCTGCAGCATCTGAAACCATTCTCAAGAGTGATTGTGCTAAATTGAGCAGGCTCGCAACATCCCTCTCAGTTCTCTTTCGTCAAACTGTACTACTATTTGTCTTAACAAGGTGATTTGAGAAAGCATTGTAAAAACATTGTCATACCACTGTCTTATTTGTACAATGTTCAGATATTTGTCTCTGGGATTTCTTCCTCCAACCCAATACACCAGAGGTTAATGGAATGTCATTTCTGCTGCTCATGGTGATAGAAACATATCAAAACAGTAATACAATATATTTTGTGATTAAGGTATTGTAGGGGACAATATAAGCGTGTGTTTCTTAATTCCGCCACGGAGGTTATGTTTATGGTTATTTTTTTCATGTTTTTCTGTCGGCATGATTACAAAAAACTCCTGGCATACTTTCTCACTTGGCTGGAAGGTTTGGCATGAGCCAAGGAACAACCCTTTACATTTCGGAGCAGATTCCAATCACAGAGCGTATACACTCCAAACTGCTTCGGTGAAGGTCTTTGCTCTCCCGGTGCCCTTCTAGTTCTCCATACGTGTGTCCTTCCTCTTCGTCTTTGCTTGTCAGGAGGCTTGTGACAATCCCTGAGATCTGGGTCAGTGTAGGTCAGCTTTTCACAGGCACTCTGCGAAAAGGGCCGGCGAGTGATGAAGTGTCCATCTGCTCAAATCTGTTGAACACGTTGACAAGCGATTCATTTCTCTGCCCTCCAGACGTTTGTTGTCAATAGACAGATGCCTCCAGTCCTCTACGAAGAGATGAATGAGAGCCGATATCTGGGCCATATCGGAGAGAATTAGTAGGCCAAAGTAATCTGTTAAATTGCGATTATTTTGACTCCTTTTGCATTTGCAATATGTTTTATAATACTGGAGGGATTGAACAAATATGTTAATGATTTATGTTAAAAATGATTTTTGTTAAAAAATAAATGTAAGAGCTTCTGACCAAACAATTACATGTTTATTTTTAAGTCTGTAGAACACAATAAGAAAGGCAGGATATCTCTGCAGCTCCACAATACTTCGTTCAAAATTGAATTTTAATAAATGTTTAGCTTTTAGCAAATAATGGGCTTCCTCTGTGAATATGGCACTAATCCATATTGCTTAAATTTGGATTAAAGGAGTCCTCTCATGTTGTGCTACAGCACCTCTTTTCACCCTCTGTTTAAAACCAGACCTCAGCCTTCTCTGATTGGTTAGCTGGCCGGCTTTTTTGTGATTGGTCAACCGCTTAGAGATGTCCCGGCCCTTAGCCTATCACGTACAATGTTTTGGAAAGCTAGCCAATAGAAGCGCAAGTGTTACATTGTGATGTCACTATGTTCCAGAAGTAAACAAAGGACTACAATTGAGGCGTTGAGGGAACTTTGAGATGTTAGCCTTTGGAGACCATTTACATGCACAATAACCTATATGACACACTACAGGAAAGGGAAAACCACAAAAAGCATAATAGGGCCCTTTTAAATGTGCAGTACTACGACCTATGCTTGTGTGTGTGTGTGTGTGTGTGTGTGTGGGGTGTGTGTGTGTGTGTGTGTGTGTGTGTGTGTGGCTGGATGCAAATGGATGTCAACACTTCCTGATTCTCCCTCCTCTATTATCCATATGAGATCTTAGGGTACCTGTTTGTCTGGGAATGTTTGTGTGTTTAAGTTAATATGTCAGTGTTGAGCACCTTCTTCATTAGTTCCCAGCAGCCGACAGACACACAAACTCTCAGCACACACACAGAAACACACACAGAAACACACCCTGAAAGGAGGCACCCGTGGAGCTGACTGCAGCACATTGCCGGCCCCTCGTGGGTGTTCTGTTGTACCGC